AATGCTGTGGAACTACAGTTTGGAATCATCCATGTTATTCCTTCCCCAAGACTGGAATGATGGAAAGAATTTCAGCATGTACGGTAATATTGAAAATCACTTTCTTTCTCATTCTTTGCTTGTATATCTTGACCTCTCAGTCATACATTATGACTGAAGGGGACTTCCAACATTTCATGTTTCTTTGATGTTTAGAAGTAATGATTTGAATATTGGAGACTCGAAATCTGTAAAACATGGTCATATTTCACCACAAGATCAGAGAGAAAAAAAATTATATATATGAAAATGAAGTCTATTTTTTGTTTATATTTTCATGACAATTAAACTCCAAATTTTTAGGATGTTTGACTTAAAAAAATATCCATTATTTTCAATAATGATACTTTTAAGTACTCTAATACTGTGCTGTAGGGGTGGGTGCTCAGGAGTATTGAACTTGAGTTATTTTTGCTGCTTTATAGGTCTTGAACAGTTAAATTCACACACTTGTATGTGTCAAAATGCCCATCTTTGCAAGTATCCTCATAAACAGTAATTTAGGTCTTAAAGGTGCAATAGGTGATTGTCTCCAGAAACATTTTTTGTTATGCTGGTTGAAAGTCTCTTCACATCCCGATAGCAATCATTTAGTTAAGTGGTCTAAATGTATTTATCTGTATTTATATATTCTGTGGAAGGTGCAGGACCAAGAAATGTTCATCCAATCAAACTGCTCGGAACGAGCGTTTTGATTGACTTTCCAACCTGCCTGTCAACATATGTATTTGCATACTTCTGCGCACCCGGTTCGCGCAGACAGGATACGTCATCAGCGCGTTCAGAATGGCAGGCAAACATCAACAACCTGATCTTCCGTCCTGGTATTGTAGTACTTTTACTAACTGTGCTATAAAGTTTTCTCACCGGTGGATAACACATGATGTATTGTAGTAATGTTGTGTCTGATCATCTGATATGTGTGCGTATATGCGTTCAGGAGGCGTGGCTTTGGATGGCAAATTGCAGGGAGGGTGGGACATTCGCTTTCAGTGCTATCAGGCTAAAGTTAGCATTTTCCAGGATCTCCTACTGCACCTTTAAGTGAAAGCAAACAGCTAAGAAAGAAAACACACGTGTAACAGAATATTGCATGCGGGCAGCTCTTAAAGTGACAGCAGTCTAATATTCCTGCTGTCTGTCACTCATGTGACAGAATGTAAATTTCTATAGTATCAAAAATTTTGATATCATAAAGACCTTATTTAAAGCAAAAATAACTATATTGTGATATATATCGTTACAGTGAAATGATGCATAAACTAAAGGCAGTTCTGCAAATAATATACCATGATGTTTCTTTCCTACATAATTAGATTTTTTGCATTTAAATTAATGAAAATAAAGTGCAAAATGTCTTTAATAATCATAATAATTTGCTGAAATGCCTCGTTTCTTATTTTTTTGGTGTTAAATACAATGTGGGCATGTTTTGGACATGGTTTCGTGAGATTCACCGCATACAAATCTGTCTTTGCTTTGACAAAAACATAGAGCACTTCCAATTTCAACATGGATTTTATGAATATATATTTTTGGGCATAATTTTACTCTCAAAAAAGCTGTTAAATGCGTATTTACCCTTTACATATAATTTACAGTTATGCTCACAATCAAACCGAACATGTTAGCGATCCACATCCAGACACACACAGCTGGCACAGCACTTAGCTGCCACTGACAACACTGTCCTGGCAACCGATGGGCACATCGCCAAGCCAGCAAGTTGCCAAGCAGCGAGTTCCCATAGCAACCTGCCATTCGCTGGCTTTTTGAATAAGGTATCGGCAGGCTTATGGGTTTGGGTGAGGTGGAGAGTAGAGGAAGAGTGACAGAAAAAATAAAAGGAACGAGTGAGTAAAAGAGATGGAGAGAGAGTGAGAGAGTTTGTTAACTGGCCCTAAATTGAACTTAAATGTATGCGATAAACTTTTAATCTTTTTCACGTTGTGTACACATTTACACAAAATGAAAATGTATCCTTTTTAGTACCGTTTTTTTTATTATTCAAAATTCAAACCATATCAACATTTGGAAATGTAGAACTCAAAATGAAAACATTTTAGAACTCCTGAACATTTGTTCCAGCTTCATCACTGTGTGGTCTCATAATTAAGATCATGACAAGTGTGTGACCTTATGTCCCAATGATTTATGCTGGCAAAGACACACACATACACATGCAGGTTGGCAGAAAGCTGGCACTGGCACCACCATGCCGCATTCGCACGTGATTGGACTGTGAATGTGGCAGTGAGAGAAAGAAAAGGAAGATAGGGTGGAGCCGAGCCAGAGAGGGAAGGACAAAAGTCTTTATAGATATTAAACTGCAAAAGTGACCTAAACAGTAACATTAAGAGCAGGAGGCCAAGTTGTCTACGGTTAGGTTTGTAGTTTAGTTTGCATCAGTAAAATGAATGCATTTGGCTGTGAAAAGGACAGGGAGTGAGAAAGGAGCTGAATAGACCACGCAGTTAATGTTTGGACCGCATTCACGTCTCACCCTGGAGATCTCTGTCATTGTCAGACGAACAGAGCTGTCCAACATATGTGTCTGCGTCTCTGTCTGTGAGAAGAGCAGTGTGAACATTAACTGTTTCCTGTTAAACGAAGGGTTCACTCAAAAAACGTAATAATCTGATCATTTCCCCTCCAGTGAGCTGTTAACTGATGCGAATGGATCATTGAGTGATTTGAACTAAAAAACCGCATAAGTTGATGTGTAGAACTAATGATTTCAATGTTTGAGAGATTAATATTTCATATTTCACCCAAAAATCAGAGGGGGGAAAAATTGCATAAAGAAAATGAAGCCTATTTTATTTTATTTTTTTATATTTTCAGGACAGTTAAGAACCCTCCTCCCTATTTTTGGGATGTTTGACTTGAAAAAAAAAAACCTTTTATTCTCAATAGGGATATTTTTATTATCCTAATACTATATTTTTATTTCATAAATTAAAGGTGTTATCACATGATATGTAAATACTTTACAATTTAAGTGAAATATAATTTTTTTCCCAACTTAAGTAATTTTATTTTGTATTATTATTTATTTATTTATTGGCTTTAATTATTATGAAAATAATGCTGTTGTGCAATGAATCATAATAATCCTAATAATATGCTTAAATTTCTATATTAAAAAAAACATTCTGTTGATTTTGGTTTTAAATATGACCTGGACATGTTTTTGAGATTCAGCCCAAGCAGCTTTGTGTCTTTCCTTTGCAAAGAACCATATCAGTTTGATTATTCACACACAAATCCTTCAATTTTGTTTTGTGAATCAGATCAACAAGTTCATGGAAAAGATTCGAATTTAAAGAATGATTCATTTATGAAATTGGTAATTATAGGGAGGATTTAAAGATTTTCATTAAATAGTGATGTAAAATTCTCTATTATTGATTGGAATATAGTGCCTGATGTCAGTTCATAAATCCTCATTTATAGTAATTGAATGTAGATTTTAATACATTTCTCCTTTTGTTTTGCACAGAATGAATATCATGAGTTTGGAACACCATGTGGGTGAGTAAATAAATACTGACATTTCATGCATTTTTGGGTGAGCTATAATTTAAATTAAAGGCTGGAGGGTGCCAAGGATCTGGTAATTGTTTGTGGTTACACAAACTTCTGGGCTAACAAATGCCAGAATGAGAATCTTCATTCTAGAGTCAAGCAAAAATAGATTGACCCACAAGCTGGATTCATTTTCCAGGGTTTCAGACACACAGGAGTTCAAAATTAAACAGATGAAGGGCATTTTTCTTGTTTGAACTGCATATGAAATTGATTGAAGTCACCTCGTTAAGCTTATGCAATTTCCCAAGTGCTTCAAAATCAGACTTTCTTAAGGGTTGCTTCCAGTAGTGCAATAAGTACGACCTTTGAACAACAGCACTATTCACGATGACTTGATCGATCCTGATTGTTTTGTAGTATTTTCATATTTCATTATATGAAAAACTTCATTTCAGTCTCCTGAATTGTACATTAAGTACCCATTCCAGCTCTTAGAAAGTCTCCATAGATTGATTTGCTCTCTCACGTGTGCTTCGAGGACTCACATACGGAATGAATGTTAGAATTTGTAAAAACAACATTGATGACTATTATTAAATAATCATTTTTGTCCCTTGACGTAAACGATGTACATGTCTGGACATAAGAAATGAATACATTCCCATAATGCACTCCTTAAAGTCATTGTTTGCCCCAAAATGAAAATTCTGTCACCAATTACTCACCATAAGAATTCAAATGAAGATATCAATGAAACCTGAGAGATTTCTGTCCTTCCACTTAAAGTCCATTCAAAAAAAGTCATAAAGAGATCTTAAAAGAAATCTGTATGAATAGAACAGTCTTCTGAAGAGACAAAATCACTTTATATGATGGACAGATTTAATTTAGGGTTTTATTCACATATAATCGTTGATCAGTGGACATACATACAGCTCACCAAATATGGTTAACAAAAGCTCAGTTGTACTTGCTTGAGATGCGAGAACAAACCTCAGTAGTTCCTGCACATCAAAAAGCACATTTAAGCTTCCATTTACCATATTTAATAAGCAGAAGACTTGGAGTAAACCGCTTGATCCATATGGTTTATTTGAAGTTTTAGTTGTGTGATCTTTCAGTGGAGGGACAGAAATATCTCAGGTTTTGCTTCGTTTGTGTTTCGAAGATGAACAAAAGTCTTATAGATTTGAAACAACATGATGATGGTACATTTTTGGGTGAACTATCCCAAAATAGGTTAAGAGGCTAATTCATAGGTTAATTCATCTTTTTTAATAGGAGTATTTCAGTGTGATTTTCATGTCGAATGATCATGGTAACATAAAATTCCTGCAAAGTGCTTGTGTGTAACAGTAATATCATTTTTCACAAGTGGATGATGTGTTGCTTTACATAAGTTGTCCAGTAGGGGAAGACATTACACATGAAATCTATTGACACCTGATTGTGAGAGTGTGTAGAAATCGAACCGTGAGTCAGTGCGCTGCAGGCTGAGGTAGTTGGTTGTATGGTTTTGCATCATAATCGGCCTGGAGTTAACTGTACAACCTTCTAGCTTTCCCTGCGGTGTCACCATTACGCCGAGGTGAGTATGAATGACCCATCAGCGGCATATAGACAAGCATTTCAAATGTTTTTGCCTTAAAATTAAAATTGAGCTGCAAGGTTGAAAACGAAATATATGGTCTGAATCAGCACAGAAGCACCTTGATTGTTGTTGTTTTTGTAGTTTCAGTGTTTGTTGCGCTATCATTCACAGGCTGTTAGTCGCCCCTGTCTGCCATATGGCCAGTTTGGGTTAGTGCCCAAATGCCCCCGTCCACAAGAGGGCTCCAACAAATCAGTCGAGTCTAGTAAATTCCTAATTAAAAACAGGAAGGTGGAGATAACAGATTGAAATATATACAAGAGGATAAATGTGTTTTGTGTACTTAATAGGGTTGTTCAACCTCAAACTGTAGCATAGAGAATGGTACTAGCAACGTCAAGTTATTGGTTCGATTCTGAGGGATGCATGAAATGATAAATTGTACCTTGTTTTACGTTACATTGGATAACATTCAGAATTGCATTGAGACAGCCTTTTAAATTCCAGTTCAATTCCTGAAGCAAACAGGATGCAGAATTTGAAACTGAAATAGAATTAAAAATAGAATGAAATTCCTAAAACTGCTAAAAGTGTAGATTTAAATAAGACATTTATTTTTTTTCTGTGTGAATTACTAATAAACATCAACATATGAGTAGCATATAAGTAAGCAGCATATATAAGTAATTTGCAAAAATATGATATTAAATAATTAATGTTTCTACCAATAAAAATTTGTATTTAATTTATATATATGTATATATATTTTTTCCATTATATTTTATAAATTAATTTTCATTTCATGGTTCATTGTGGAAAAACACTTAATGAAGTTTTAATTTTTAATTAAGTTAATTGTTTTAATAAATCATAATTAACACCAAATTTGTCTAAAATTTATTTTTTTGAAAACAATAAGATGGATATTTTGTGTCACTTCAAAATTAAATTATAAGTTTTTTTGTGGCTGTTTTAATTATTGTGATAATACTAAACAGCTGAGAAAGTATTAATCAGAATAGAACATTTATTCTACATGTTGATAAATATCAACAGACACGAGTTTGCTGGAAGAAGAATTTTAAATCTTATGGGATCCACAGAAGATTTTAATATAATATAATATAATATAATATAATATAATATAATATAATATAATTATTTCAGCAATTATATAATATAATATAATATAATATAATATAATATAATATAATATAATATAATATAATATAATATAATATAATATAATATAATATAATATAATATAATATAATATTTTCAGCAATTTGTGTTGATATGAAATATTTATTTCGTACACAGATACTTCTGAATTGCTTTTAATGGAGAAGAATTTGTGGAAGCAGATAAATCCGACAAATAATGTTGGTAAAGCATCTCACCTTTTTACTCAAGATAAGCACACAATAGCTGATAAAACTGCAACAGGGGAAGGAATTTTATCATTGGAAAGCAATTCACACAAGTATTTATGGTTCAGTACATGGAGAAATAGCACTGCTGTGGCACTCATTCTTCTCATTTTTCCTCAGTATTTTGGACAAAACCAGGCAGCACTTCATTATCCATTTTCCATTACCCATAATCTGCTAATTAACTCATTTTAATGTGTTTCAGGTGCAAACCGCCATTCTTTTCTTCTCAAGCACATACATTATAATAATAGCAGGATGTTAGGATGGGTTTTAAGTTGTGTGGTCAGTGTGTTTGCAATTAGCCTCTCAATCATCTCTCCAGCACTCTTATGAATGATTACAGTCTCCTCCTCCTCTGTCTGGCCGCTCACACGGTCTGCCAGGATCCGCATTGCGTTGCCCTTCTCCTCTAAAAAGAGATAAAAAGAGCACATATCAGCAATCTGTGCCTGTCGTTGTTCTTTTCCAGACACGTAAACGCACACCAAGACGTTCAGCCTCACATTACGAGAAACAGAGAAATCACACCCAGGAGAGACTGGATGGAGACAGACTCGAGAACAAAGAAACGGTCTTGTGCACATAAACAAACCTGCGCAAATAAAAACCTCCCATGCGTAGCCTCAAGAAAAGCTATGATTTAATGGAAAATTCCAGATTTTTGATCATATAGTGAGAATTATTTGTGAACGAATGCGCCATAGATCTTGATGCATTAATTTGATTGCGTGCTAGAACAGGTGTCTCAAAGGACTTTTTTTTTTTTCTAAATATCTAACATCATAATGCAAACAGGACTACGCCTTGATCCCCATCCTTATTTCACTGCATAAAAGTACGTCATGGTATTCTGCGCTTTCTGTCATAGTCATGTTGCCTGATTCTTGCTCACTTGACTGTTCTTCCAAACACTTCGTCTGTCTCTGGTGTTTTGGCTCGTTATCTTTTGATTAATCCGTCTAATTGTTTGTTTCCCTTTTCAATACGGCCCTGATTGGTTGTGTAACTTCTTTGTTTGTTTGTTTATTCAGCTCCATCATCAGTGTGTGTTTGATGAATTCACAATGTGGATCATGAATATTTATCGTGCACAGGCTGATGGTGTTCAGATCCTGGAGATTATATACTCGCTGTGGATTTAAGGTGAAGTGAAGTGACGTGTGGCCAAGTATGGTGTACCATACTCAGAATTTGTGCTCTGCATTTAACCCATCCAAGTGCACACACACAGTAGTGAACACACACACACACACACTGTGAACACACACCCAGAGCAGTAGGCAGCCAATGCTGCGGCACCCGGGGAAACGGTTACAAATGTACTTTTTGATTAGTGACCTATAGAAATAGTACATAATAGTAAATGCTTTTATTTACTAATTTTAGGTCATAACTTGTCTAAATTTTATTATTTAAAAAAAAAAAAGTCTCCTACTTATTTCCATGTTTAAAACCCATGCGTCCAGCTTGTTCTCAGATTTTCGCTCCCCACAGTATATTATTAAAGAGGATATTTAATTTACACTGTGAAGAATATGCAGTGTTTTTATACATTTGACTACTTCATACAATGTATGTAGCATTTCTTATTTATTTAGTTTTTTGTGCTATTGCTTGGAATTAGTTTCTTATTCTTATTTAATGATTGACTGTTTACTTGTCTTCATTGAGCTTGAGTTGTTGTTGTTGTTTTTTTTTAATTGAAGCTAGTATTAGTTTTTGGTGATGAATTTAGTTTTCGGTGAAGAATTGTGAAATTTCTATTTTATCACGAATTTTGCTATCATAAAGAGTTTATTTAAAGCAAAAATAACTATACCGTGATATATATCGTGAATATATATATATATATATATATATATATATATATATATATATATATCGTGATAATAATAATCGTACTGATAATCATTTCACAAATATGGAGTTAAATCTAATTCCTCATTCAAACCAGGAAAAATGGTGGCTTTTAGCTGAAAAATCCAAAAGGCTTCCCTTTGTAGAAGTCTTTGTAATCTATCACCCTTTCTAATCGATCCAGTTACAATTTCCAAACCAATAATTCTTAAAGTAGACGGATTTGAGTCATGTGTAGATGCATAATGTACTGCCATGGGGTAATCTTTGTTTCTTGTACGAATTGCATTTTTGTGATCCCATAATCTATCTTGCAGTCTACGTTTAGTCTGACCCACATAGAAACAGTTACAAGGACATTGAAGCCTATAAATTACATGCGTACTTTTACAATTAATGAAGGATCCAATTAAATACAGTTTCTTTGTGCAAACATCCATAAATGATTTAGTTTGAATTACATTCTCACAATGATTGCAATGTCCACACTTAAACATGCCTCGTATTCCTCTGTCCAACCATGTTGTCTGTTTCATAGCAGGCAAGTGACTTCGTGAACACACACACACACACACTGTGAACACACACCCAGAGCAGTAGGCAGCCAATGCTGCGGCACCCGGGGAAACGGTTACAAATGTACTTTTTGATTAGTGACCTATAGAAATAGTACATAATAGTAAATGCTTTTATTTACTAATTTTAGGTCATAACTTGTCTAAATTTTATTATTTAAAAAAAAAAAAGTCTCCTACTTATTTCCATGTTTAAAACCCATGCGTCCAGCTTGTTCTCAGATTTTCGCTCCCCACAGTATATTATTAAAGAGTCTTTAGATTATTATGTAACCTGCGAGCTCTTATGAATGTATCATATGACGTGCTAGTCTGAATTGAAATGGTGTAGCCTAACATGCATGCACAGAGTTTCCTCATTCGGGCTTAATTGAGTCATTCCAACCTGCCATTAGATCAAATCTTTCAATCAAAGGAGTTTGGTATAATGCAGCATGATGGCTGGTGACACTTTTCATTACTGCAGGGTAATCACCCCCAAGCTTTTGTTGTCTGGGAGAGGAATCTCGTTCTCTCTCTCTCTCTCTCTCTCTCAGAAATGATCTTTAACTCACAATCTCCCCATCTATCCCATATTGTCTCATCTGTTCCATTTCACACACACAGACACCCTTCACCCAATCACAAGGTGTTATGACTGTTCTTGCGTTCGAGTGCCAGACATTGCTGTGGGGGGGGGAGAAAGAAAGAAAGAGAGAGAGAATGGCAGATATTCTACTGACAAAACGCAGGAGAGGAGGAGAAGAAAACGAGGGGGTAGGTTGGGGTTGGTTAGAGGAAGCGGAGCGAGACGCCGAGGCAGGGACAGTGACGACAGGGAGCAGCACAGGGTCTGAACGTCCACGGTGCTCGCTGGTTGGGTGCATTAGTGTTTAGGTGACACTGATTTATGATGTTGTGGGGGGGGTTAGACATGGTTTCTGTCAGGGCGGGAGGAAGGAGTAATGAGAGGAAGGGAGGGAGAATCAGAGAGAAAGGGAAGAGAAGAGGGGACGGCATCAGATAATAGTGGGCTGCTCAAAGCGCACCTATCTCATGATCTGCACCGCCTCTGATCGCCACGAGTGTCAGAGCATCATCGCCACGCTAGGAGGGAGAAGAAGAGAGGAGAGCGCAGGGCGAGATGGAAGTCAAACAGGGATGGAGGAAACTAGTTTACCATACGGCTCTAAGGAAGCGAACATCTGGAGACACTATAGCGGATTTTGTGACAACTCTTTCAGTGTATAACATACGAGGCGTAGCGTGCTTGTCCGTGACTGCGTGTTTCGCCATACATTTGGTAAATTAGGTTGGGACGAGCAGGGATAGTGAACAAAAGACTGCGGAAGACTTCCGTGTTTGGCTTCTTTAACATTTGTAACACTTGCATGCCATTCTAAATCTGCCTTTTTGTCTGCTGTTTCCCTCTCCACTCTTGTTTCGAAAGAGATAGGCAGCCTTAAAACTGGGGCACTATGAGACCGAGAGGAAGAAAGAGAGAGAGAGCAGTGTTTGCTGTTTTCTGGTACCGCATGCTTTCTATACATCTTCGACCCATGACGCGTCGCATTTGTCATACGATCTATCGTGCAAAGGCCGGGCGGTTTGTGATACGCGTCACACGTTTATAGATATACCACCTATGTGTGTCGCTCACATGCACACTGATGCCTCTGTGTTTGTGGCTTCACAGAAAAGGAGGGCAGCCAGAGAGAGAGACAGAGAGAGGGCAGAGACAGTTTGCTGGCAGTGCATATCTGTTTTTGGGTTCATTCGGTTCATGTATCGTACTCGGTGTCTGCCACCAGGGGGCCGGACAGAACTAACTGCGCAATTGTTTATGGCGCTGATGCTAAATCTTAATTTCAGTGCTCGTTAAGGCGTTGCTGTTCATTCCTGAGGGTTAAAATGAGTGTCATGTGTTAAAACTTGCTTCTGTTTGCTACAGGTCGCAACCTCAGGAGATTTAGAGATGTCACGCAATTTGGAGAAGAAACTGTCATTGTGAGAGTGATGCATTTATTTTTTTTGGCAAATCTGACAAAGGTAAGGAGGAAGGTAATGAAGTGTCATCATCCAAGATTAGTATGCGGTATATATAAAATATTCAGTGTGTGTGTGTGTGTGAATATCTATCTATCTATCTATCTATCTTATCTATCTATCTATCTATCTATATACATTACCATTTAAAAGCTTCTGGTCGGTAAGATTCTTAAAATCTTTTTGAAGTAAGTTTTGAAGTGCTCACCAAGACTGCATTTATTCGATCAAAAATACAGTTAAAAAATGTATTTCTTATTATTACTATTATTATTATTATTGATTCATTATTATTATTTAAAGAAAGAATTCTTATTATTATCAAGGGTGAAAACAGAAAACAGCTGTCCTGTCTAATATTTTTGTAAACCATGATTTTCATTCTATATATTTAATTTTTACTATAGCATAAGATATAGTGAATTATGTTTATTATTACATAAAAATAATAAAAATCTGTCATAAATCTGTGGCCTTAATTATTTCTGTATATGTAATCATGACTCTGCAATAAAAAATCTTCTTTGTCTCTGACATGCAGCTTTAGGAAAAACTTTGCCCAGATTCTTTTAATCACCGTTCAAGTAACTCTATATGCAGATGGACCCAAAGTGGGAATTTCAGCCTCGCTTTGGAGTTCATCTGAAGACTTTGAACTTGAACCAGTGTATGTCTGTGTCCCTGAGACCCTTAACCTGTGATGTCTTCAAAGGTCACAGGTGAGGTCCTTGGGAACACAGCTGTATATAATGACATCAGTCGTTAAAAACACATGACACATGGTCTCTCGGCAACATCTTGACACAGACGAGTCTGATTTTGGCATGATTTTATGATTTGAATGACACATTATCCTGGGTAACTGCTAAATAAATTCATATACTTCCCTCCGAAGAGTCACATTCAGATTCCCCTCTGGTTCGTCTTTCCTCTGAACCCGTCTTGTGTCGTGACTGACATTATCACAGGCACACCATTAGCACGAGTGACTGTTTGACTGTGGTTTGAAACTCGTTAGGCTACTTCTACTCCACGTTACCTGAAACGGCACCACAGATTTCCAGACATCCGTGATATCAGCTTCAGACCACTTTGACGCAGCTGTCGGGGACGGTACCTATTGGCTGACTTTGTGCCCTGACCACACAGAGCGACCAATCCAAAGCCAGCCTAGGTTCACGACCCCTATACATTTCTCCCGAGGCTTCGATGCGAATCTGTTCCATGAAACCATTTTACGGGCTAGCCTGCCATCTTGTGCTCATTAATGCCAAACGCTTTGGTGATGGATGTTGCCCCGGAGCGGCTCATACGAGACATGTTGTTTGTATTATTTTTCTGCAGAGAACATAATTATATTTTACAGTGTGAGACAGCGTGAACATGAAGAGAATGTATAGGCGTTGTTTATTTTTAAAATTAGATACAGTTTGGTACTATATCTGTAAAATATGTAGGCTGTATGATTCATTACATGATTCATATGTATATCATTATGTTTGTACTTAGTGTCATATGGAGCATATTTCAGCATATTTTTCTTATGCGTCCTTGATGGTGATCTTATTTAATCATTTATCCAATGCATTCATTTAGCATTTTTGCATAACCTGAAATGACAAAATCTGATCTAAAACATTGTACAGTGACCTGAAAATCAAAGCAAACTTGTGGATAATTCGTGACCGTATTATATAATGTGCGTCACATTTTCTCTCAACCATATGTTCATGTCTTTTGTTCTACCCAGCGCCTCAAGCCATGAAACCAAACAGTTATGATTAAGTTATACACAAAGCAGAGGATCTCTTCAAAAAGTCCCCTGGATCTGAGTAGGCAAAGAGTGACTGTCCCTCTCCTTTCTGCTGGTGCTTTGAGACATCAGATACGGAACATCAACCTCCACCATCTGGTATGCAGTGGATTCATTTAAAAGCTGAAAACTGTTTCACAACAATGCATAGAACTGATGAGATTGAGCATTGAAATCAGCAAGTGGTCTCCTAAATGGTCTCCTTCCGACAAACACACGCAGGGTGCCAAATAGCCTTTTTTCTAGAGTGTATTTTCATTTTGAAAGCCCCTCACCATTATCAAGCGTGAAGTGGTTTAAATATTTGCCCATGTTTTGTGAAAAGCAATTGGTTCCTTACCAAATGTCTTGTTTCAATGGATAAGGCAGAGAAAATCTACAGTTGCACATGGTGTTTGGAAAGATGGGAATATAAAATGCTGAAGAAATTTAAAAAAGGTTTTCTGAGTGAGATGAGGACTATTGATGCCTACAACCTCACATTTTTCTTTAGTTGGTGCTTGAAGGACGTTTCAGAGCTCTCAATAAAATCTCACTATAATAGGGAAGTTAAGCACCCATCAGAGACTATAGACTAGTTATTTTCACTTCATGTATCTTGAAAATCCAGTGTGTTTTTCTACTCCTTGATGTGCTGGATGGACTTACTGTCTTAACAGGATACAAATTTAGTCACGTTATTTGATAGAATATCAGCCAATTTGCATTCCCTCATTCATCATCATACATTTTAATGGATAGCATACAATAAAGGCAATGAACATATACTCCATATTTCTTTTCAGTGCATTAAAGTGCAAAACCCATATATAAATATAGCAAACTATACGTATGATGTTATGTTTACTTATTTGCAATACAAGAAAAAGATGTCAAATAGCTATGTACTCAAAAGTTTACTACTGTTACACTTATAAACTAAAAAGTAAACCAACTAGAAGTATTTAAATAATACACATAAAAGTATTAATGCACTCATATTAGTATACTTGCTACATAATATGTACTTGGAAAATATGCTAGAAACTTTTCTAAAGATTAATAAAATCAACTTTGTAAGGAAAGCATTATATTATACTTGGCTTGTAATTGTGTCATTTCACACAACATTGGTTTATCTTGTAAACTTACGCTACATGTTCAAGTTTATAAGAAAAAAGCTTTGGGGTGAAATTGCCTTCTTTACAAAGTTAATTTTATTAATAATATTAACATAACATCTTATTAATCTTTAGTAAAGTTGTTTTTTTATGTTTTTTCATAATTGTGTATGTATTTTAAAACTAATAAACTTAAGCATGTAAATTTACAAGATAGTATGTCAAAGTAGGCTATACTTGCAATTCTTAATTACACCTTTTTAATTAGGCCTACAGCTCAATCAACAGATAAAGGGCCAGATTTACTAAACGGCAAATTAGTGTTAATGCGCAACTCAAAGCGCCGATTGGAGGGGAAAATTCTGTGTGTGATTTACTGACAATCCGCACATTAAAGACCACAGACGCAGCCAGATCATTTCCATAATGACCAGCGCAATCTATCAAGAGCAGTGCAAAATTACCACCTGCTTTAAGACATGCTTTTTTGAGCGTTAAAAAACACAGTGTGCTGATATACCGCATGGCTATGAGTGTGATACTGCATTTATACAACAGAAGACAACATAAGAAACAACGGAGTGCCTTTAAAGTCCTCTTTTGTGCAGGACTACTTCCTTCCGCCAAAGATTAAAATCTTAAGTTGACAGTTTAACAGCTGAGCCCCAGCCTCCATTACTAATTCGAAAACATCACTTTAGAACTAGTAACGAAAAAACATTGAGTTGCTTCATCATTGAACGCTTATTGTATTACTGTATTAAAAGCTCTCTGTATTATGTAGAGTCAAGTATTATGAGAAAGAGGTGAACTGAGCAAGTGTGATTACCTGCATCTGATACAGCATTCATTCTTCAGCTCAATCTCATATTCACAATAAAACATTAGTTTGAATGTCTGCTGAGGAAAGCGATTTCTTTGTCATACTATCCTTTCATCTGTTAAGGGTGATTTCTGATGACAGCGCTGCTAAATGCATTTGTTGGCTGCGTCTTACAAGGTTTTGTTGAAAGTAAAAATAACTTCCTTGTTTACAACCCTGTTTCAGTCTCTTTCAGTATAAAAGTCTTTACTGCTGCTCACAGAGTCTCTGCAGAGCAAAAGTGGGCATTTCTGACTTTGTGGGTGTTTTCAAACTGCTAGGTGATTCTAAATCATGCAATGAAAATTATCCCCATTACCTGACCCCACCCCTAAACCTACCTGTCACTATGACATCAGCCAATCAGGTAACATGGTCGAAAATGCCCCTGATTTGGCCGCGCCTACTGATCTGGTAACTCCCATGACTTCTCATCTAATGGTGGAACAATGTAACTAAAATCACCATCACGAAAACACACCGTTTCCCAATGAAATAAATTATTATTTATATAAAATATTATTTATTGAATAATAATATTTAATAAACAACAACAACAGCCATCATAAAAGTTGCTAGCCAATTCAGTTAAAAGTATACAAAGGCAGCGCTCTGATACAGCACTGAGGTTACACAAAATAACATGAGATTTTGCCCTTAGCCAAAACAATTTGCTCTGGAACAAATAATAGATTAATGAGAGCAAAGACTGCCCGTTAAACTTACCCAAAGCAAATTATATCCCATGTTTAACCACTATAGAGACATCAGAGCCAGCGGCAAATTCCAGAAGATCTGTTCTCGGCAGGTTCATGAGCACTGAATGGCCGCTGATGCTCTGGAGCTCACATCTCCGAAAATGTCGAAGCAAATTTTCAAATAGATGTTATCTTTATTAACAAACTGCATATTTGAAGTCTAGAGTACATTCTCGCCTAAAAAAAACTACATTCCGTGACAGAAAAACAGTATTATTTATATAATTGTCGTGGATTTGGGCGTCTGCTATGACACTCACTGTGAGAAATACTGCAAGCAGAGTGATACAATGGTGAAATGGTTGGAGTTCCGATATCGCACTCCTCTCAGCCAATCAGATTCCAGGACCAGAAAGAACTGTTGTTGTATAAATTAATAAATAAATATTATTATTATGATTTTTTAAGAATTTTAATTACGTCTCCGGAGCTTTACGAGAAAAGGCACAGAAACATCTCTCTGATACAGTTTTGGAAGCGAAAAAAATAACAGACAAATATAGGACCTGAATTCATGATTTGGTGAGATTATAAATATTTTCTCTCCTTTTAAAACTGTAGTACCTTTTTGCCGGACAAAGTCCTGCAATGGTCCATACCTGCTCTCTTTTTTTATAGCTCTGCAATATAGGCCTAGTGGAAGTACAATAACACCCAAACATTTCACTTTTAATCAGTGACATAGCATTTATCAGTAGCACTTACAGAAAAACAAATAGGGCCCACTTCAGAATCATAATTAAAGGTGCAGTAGGAGATCTTGGAAAATGCTAACTTTAGCCTGATAGCACTGAAAGCGAATGTCCCACCCTCCCTGCAATTGCTGTCCAAAGCCACGCCCCCTGAACGCATATACACACACAGACCAGAATACCAGAGACAACATTACTGCAATAGGCTACATCCGCGGTTCCCAATTCCAGCCCATGTTCCGAAGTGAAGTAAACTTCAACGGATTTCCCCTGCTCAGGGAGTAGGGAGCAATGAACACTGTGTAGGGATCATATTGATCGGAACACAGTTCATGCACGTAGCTCACTAAAAAAATTTCTGAAGACAATCACCTATTGCACCTTTAATGTTATTACATACGAAAGTAATAAACAACCCTATCAGCATATGAATTAGGGGTCATGAACTGCCTTTGTTTTTTATTTTGTACTGTTCTCTGAGGTCCACTTATAATTTTATCAAAATTTTTACATCAAAAAAACATAATTTAGAATAGGCTATTTTCTGTCCTGTTTTTGACCCCCCTCATCTAAACGCTTAGTTTGAATAGGAGTGGCGGATTGTAGACTCGGAAGTAAATGCCCACTGGTATGATTGGCTAACACTTGTGTATGTTTAATAGCCTATATGTCCTTCACAGATGGATGCTGCTGTGATTTAGGTTAAAACCACATAAATACTCATATCAAACTGTTACAGTCGGTGGCTTGATCTGTGTTTTTGTTTACTTTTTGTTGCCCCTCCCTGATGTGTTTAACAGACAAAGCAATAGTGATCTTGTAGTAGTTAGATAGTTACTTGTGTGTTGCGACCATAGACTGTATAAAAACATGGATGTAGTGTTTGTGACGTCACCCGTAGGTTCCTGAAGAGCGGTTTTGAAGCTCAAAGTGGGCAGAGCCGGCCGTCGCCATCTTGGCAACGTGCCACCGCACGTCACTTCCGGATAATCGAAAATGGGCAAAAAGGCGGGAGCTGGTTGCTGAAACCACGCCCACCTAGCTCGACGGTAGTGACAGCAGCGGCAATCCATCTGTCACTCAAGTGGCCACACCCTTAATTATGCAGAACTTTAAGGCTTAATATAATTTAAACGGATAACTTATAAAAAAATTCACCCCCCCAATAGTTGTCATGAAGGGCAAAATTAGCTATATAGACCAAAATTTTTTTTTGAACCAGGCTGTAAACGTTTTTTTTTTCTGCTGTAAAGTTGGGCATTTTAACATGGGGAGTCTATGGGATTGACTCCCTTTTGCAGCCAGCCTCTAGCGGCCAGTTGACGAATTACAGTTTAAGTCACTTCCGTGTTGGCTTCACGAGAGAGCGGGAGGTTGCCTCTTGGTTGCGACATTACTTTCGGATTCAATATAGTCAGCACAGCATCGTCTTTTAGTTTCAATCTTTCTGAAAATCCTGCGTTGAACTGTGCTTTGTTTGTAAATGAATCCGCGATAAAATGAAGTGAGCAAAGGACCAAGTTCTAACCGATGCAGTCTGGAACTTCATTAAAAATAAAGTTCATCCACTCTTTCCTAATGTTGGGCTCAGAAGGAAGGCAATGCAAAGACAATTTTTTCCACAACTTTGCACTACACAGTGTTGTCTTTCTGAGCCATCTTTATTGTTTGGTCACCTGCGGTCGCC